AGCTTTATGTACAAAAACAGGCAGCTAATGGTATTTGACCCTTGGGCCATTGTTTGCCCTAGATTATATAGTTTTCTTGTAGTTCAAATTTTTGGCTAATAATTTCTTTTTTGGGAGGGGGGAGTGGCTAATAATGTCACCTACAACAAATGATCATTAGTTTCTGCCACCGTAGTCTTCTTTTGATTTGATGTGGTCTGGTTGGTTGAACTTGAGTGTTATTTGGCGTCATAGAGGTGAGAGAGATGTGTGTAAGGGAAACTAGAAACTGTTGAAGTATCTTGAATGCCTTTTGTTTGGTGGAGACCATTTGAAGGTTTGTTTTTTCTGCCATAATGTAGTCAAAGAAATGATCCTTGGAGGTTATGGGCTGTAGTTTGCCAACCCCTACCTTAAGGAATTGAAGTGATTCTAGTGTGGGTTTCAGTCCTTGTGTGGGCTGGCCTAGTTCTTAACTCTTCAGTGATGCAGGGTCCCAACCGAAATCCTGGGATCTTCACCACTCCTTCTCCTGAGCATGCCCTGAGATTCATTTTTTTTGTCAACTTAAGTACTATGAGTCTGCTGAAAACTCTGCTTAATTTTTTGGCCACTTTTGCTGTCAGAATTGGCAATTGCTTCAAGCAGGAAAGTGCCCCAAATGCCACGCTCACCTCTGTTGGCTTTCCTCCTTTCCATATTTGGGTAATTTTTGAAAATAGCCATCCTAATGGATGTGAAGTGGTCCTTCCTTTCCAAATTTTGGTTATTTTCACTGTTTTGAAAACTCTCTAATCCCTTCAAATGAATGTTTTTAAAAACATTTTTCTAGTTTTTCTCTACCAATTTAATCTTATTCTTGTAATCAAAATTTTAGCCACAATGAATACCCTTATACATAAATGTTGGAGTATTGTACTTTTTAAAAATCAGATTTATTGAGCTATAATTTACGTAAGCTTAAATTTACCACGTTTAAGGATATGTAGTTCAATGAGTTTTAACAAACAGATAACCATGACTACAATTAATATATCGAATGTTTTATCACCCCAAAAGCTCCCTTTGTGCCCCTTTGTAGTCAGTTCCCTTGCCTTTCCCTCAGCCCTTGGCAGTCATGATCGGCTCTGTCCCTATAGTTTTGTCGTCACTGAGTGTCGTGTAAATGGAATCATAAAGTACGTAGCCCTTTGTATCTGGCTTCTTTCCTGTATCATGTTTTTGAGATTTATCCATATTCCTGCATGTATCAGTAGTTTGTTCCTTTTTATTTCTGAGTGGTATTCTGTGTGTAGATGTACCATGATTTGTTAATCCATTCACTAAATAATGGACATCTGGGTTGTTTCCAGTTTCTAGCTCTGATAAATAAAGCTGCTATAGACATTCATGTACAAGTCTTTGAGGTTTTCATTTCTTTGGGTAATTATGTAGAAGAAGGGATTATTGGGTCATGTGTAAATATATGTTAATGTCATAAACTACCAAACTGTTTTCCAAAGTGGCTGTACCATTTTGTATTCACACCAGCAAACAAATGAGGGGCCCATTTACACTTTGTCTTATAATTTCTTTTTCCGTTTTAAATTAGGTGTGTAGTACCTTGTGGTTCTAATTTGTAGTTCCCTAACAACTAATGATGGTGAGCATCTTTTCATGTGCTTATTTGCCATTTATGTCTCTTCTTGGTAAACTGTATGTTTTAATCTTTTGCTATTATTTAATGAGTTATTTGTGTTTTTATCATTGTGTTGTAGGAGTTCTTTATATATTCTAGTTACAAGTCCTTTATTTGGAGTGTTGTTTTACAGATATTTCCTCCCAATCATTCTGTGACTTTTCTTTTCATTGTCTTAACTCTGTCTTTTGAAGGTCAGTTTTTAATTTTAATGAAATCTAGTTTATCAATTTTTTTCTCTTAAGTTTTGTGATTTTTGTGTTCTGAGAAGTCTCTGCCTAAGCCAAGATCGCAAAGAATTTTGTCTGTATTTTCTTCTATAAATTATATGTTTTTAGGTTTTACATTTAGGTGTGTGATCCATTTCAAGTGAATTTTTGTATGTGGTGTGTAGTTTTTTGGTTTTTTTTGCATATGGACTTCTGTTATTCCAGTATCATTTTTTGAAAAGGCTATTCTAGGGGCTGGCCCGGTGGCGCAGCCCGTAAGTTTGTATGTTCCGCTTCGGCGGCCTGGGGTTTGCCAGTTCGGATCCCAGGTGCGGACCTACGCACCACTTGTCAAGCCATGCTGTGGCAGGCGTCCTACATATACAGTAGAGGAAGATGGGCACGAATGTTAGCTCGGGGCCAGTCTTCCTCAGCAAAAAGAGGAGGATTGGCGGCAGACGTTAGCTCAGGACTAATCTTCCTCAAAAAAAGAAGGCTATTCTTTCTGCGTTGAATTACCTTGACTTCTTTGTCAAAGACAATCAGAGATATATGTGTAGGTCTATTTCTGGACTTTCTCTTCTGTTCCATTGACCACTGTGTCTATTATTTTTCCCATAATCTTGTACTTTTAGGTAAGAAATATCTATGTATTTTCTACTATCACACTGACTTATGAGATTCAAATACAGACAGCCTCTGACTTATGATGGTTTGACCTACCAACTTTACGATGGTGCCAAAGTGATACATATTCAGTAGAAACCAAACTTCAGATTTTGAGTTTTGGCCTTTCAGTACAGACAGCATACAGTGATATGTGGTACGGACTCTGTTGTGATGCTGGGCAGAGGCAGCAAGCCCCAGCTCCCAGTCAGCCACACGATCATGAGTGTAAACAACTGATACACTTACTACCATTCTGTACCCATATAACCATTCTGTTTTTCACTGTCAGTACAATATTCAATAAATTACATGAGGTATTCAACACTTTATTATAAAATGGGCTTTGTGTCAGATGATTTTGCCCAACTGTAGGCTAATGTAAGTGTTCTGAGCATGTTTAAGGTAGGCTAGGCTAGGCTGTGATGTTCGGTAGGGTAGATGTATTAAATGCATCAGGACATAACCCCATCGTAAGTCAAGGAAGATCGATAATGCAGTAAATCAACTACGTATTACCAAAGAATGTTAAGTAAGTGAATAATTATTGAGCATGTCAGTTTATTTGTAATCAGTCATTGCATTTGCCTACAGTAGTGTACTAAAACTCCCTAAAACATTTTGTTCAGATGTTGCCAATGAGAATTCTCATACATTGCTATTAGAATTGTAAATTGGCACAAGCACTCTTCAGAAAGCAGTATGTTGATTTCTGGTGAACGGAAAATATATGATCAAGTGTGACTCATCAATTCTACTTCTTAAGCATATAATCTAGAGAAATTGGCACATGTACACAAGGAGACAGGTACAAGAATGTTTATTGCAGCATTGTTTGAAATATTGAAAAACTGCAAACAACCTAAGTATCTTTTAATAGGAAAATAGTTGAATAAATTATAGGATGATATGAGATACTATACAGAAGTCAAAATGAATAAAATAGATCTCTGTATAGCAACATAGACCTCAAAAGCATATCAATTTTTAAAATAAAACAATACAAATAGAATAGGAACAACAGAAAAATGTGTACTGGAAATATATGCACAAAGTTCATGATAGTAGTTTTTGCGAAGAAAAGAAGGTTGAGAATGGGAAGAGGAATTTCTGTTGTATCTGTTAGATTGTACTTTGTTTTTAAAATGTTTAAGGAAATGTGACACTGTTGTCAATATTCCTACCACTTGGAATGCAAATGCTATTTTAGTACTTTCTGTAATTTTCCCCTTTTTTTCAAATTAAGAAAACAAAAATGCACATAACAGATATTTTCTTTATAAAATACAGGAAGGTAAGCATCAGATAGTTTGAGCTGATTTACAACAAACTCTTAATAATACTTTCCTCATGTGTCATTATCAGATACTTATTGAGCATTTTCTCTGGACCAGCCGCTGTGTAAAATACTGATGGTACTGCAATAAGTAAGAAATTATCCTGTCCAAGAGGCTGAATCTAGTTAGTCATTTATTTTTAGGGACATAGAGATGGAGGAGGGGGTAGGTGGTACACACTTATCAGAGGACCGCATTTCTTAGTTGTTGTATGTGGTGTTTATAGTAAGACTTCATCTATTCTGTGTTATCAAGAGAGTCATGATATTTTATTGATTTTGAAATTTCAGATAATATTGAATAATGACATGGAAATTTTTGAATAAATGGGGGCATGAATTGAGAAATGAAAAACAGTTCTAATCGATGATTTCTACCTTTGCTATACTGTATCTGTATTAGCCATCTATAAGGCTTTGCAGATTCTAAGAACAAAGAAATTAATTTTCAAAACCAATGAGATTTGCATATAATTAGTATTTCACAGAAATATCCTACACACATTTTGATTATGCTGAATCTTTAGATCCTTTTTAAGCTTAACTTGGATCAAGAATTAATGTTGTAAACCAGTCATTTGTTTCAAAGAAAGTAGAAATCTATCACTAATTGCCACACTTGTAATCTCATGTACTAGTTCTCCTGATGCAATCATTTGTTAAATAAAAACTCACTCTAGAAAGGAGGCACCCACAATGAACATACTACATCAGATTTGAATACTTAGATTAGATGGAGCTTTTTTCCTCACTATTATTGAAATCATGTTTATATTTTCTAACAATATGTATTTTAAAAGAACATTTATTTAAAATAAATTCTCCCTGAATAAAATTTCTTTCCCTAGTACAGCATTTCAGTGGTTATAAGCATCAGTACAATGAGATGATAAGCAAATAAAGAACTCACAGCCCTAAAATTTTGAGAAACATCAAAGGTTATATCTCTTTCTTGGAGATTCACAAGCACATTAAGATGCCCAAGGTACTAAGAAGTCATATAGTAATGTTTTTCAGACTTATTTGATCGCAACCATCTTTTTCATATATCACCTTAATAGCATACTTTGGGAAATGTTTAGTGTATTCTTCATACTTGTGATATATACAAATAATTATTTCTATTTTAAAGCAGGACAAAAGGAGCAAGCTGTGGAATGGTATAAGAAAGGTATTGAAGAATTAGAAAAAGGAATAGCTGTGATAGTTACAGGACAAGGTAAGGTTATATTTACATTTGTTTAGTAGCCATTCCAAATTGTATTCACATGATTGCCCTGATTTGAGATCCATTTATCTTAATAAAGATATTTAGCAGATTTTTAAATGTTACTTTCAGTCTTTGTAGACTTATGGTTAATGCTTTATTACCTATGCTAAAAATGAAATTATAACCAGATATGCTCAAACTTGATTACCTGTGGCAGTCAAGCAGTAATCAGTATATTACTTGTGTCCTCCTTGGACCCACTGTTTGTGATGTTTTAGGTCTATTTTTAGCCCTGTTGAAACCTAGTAGTCCATTCCTCATTGTTGAGGCAGGGAAAGAGTGGTTAACCCACAGACTCCCCTTTGTACTTGTGAGTACTGCTTGACTGCACGTTAAAATATGAGCTGGAAATGTCTTTGATTCACACTTGGCTTTTTAAAACCAAAGCAGTTCTTTCTTTCTTTCTTTCTTTTTTTTTTGAGTAAGATTGGCCCTGAGCTAACATCTGTTGCCAATCTGCCTTTTTTTTTTTTTTTTACTTTTTACCTCCCCAAAGCCCCAGTACACAGCTGTATATCCTAGTTGTAAGTCCTTCTACCTCTTCTATTTGGGATGCCGCCACAGCATGGCCTGATTGAGCAGTATGTAGGTCTGCGCCCAGGATCCAAACCAGTGAACCCTGGGCAGCTTAAGTGGAGTGTGTCAACTCAACCACTCAGTCATGGGGCCGGCACCCCAAAGCAGTTATTTCTCATCTTTACTTTCCTATCACTTCAAATTAAAAATTAGAGTCTAATGTTATCTTTAAATATATAAATAACATTTATTGCACACTTACTATGTGCCCAAGCATCATTGTAAGTGCGTCATATATATTAGCTCTCTTAATTTTCACCACAACTCCACACTCTGAGGCTGCTGACGTTATCCTTATTTTTCAGATGAATAGCCTTAAGTACAAAGAAGTAAAGTAACTTCCCCAAGGTCTTATAGCTAGCGAGTGGTAGAGTCAGGGTTTGAACCCAGGCAGTCTGACTTCAGAGTCTGAATTCTTAAATACTATGCTGTGAATAGTGTGTAGTGTGTGGGTGCCAGTATTAAATAAGTAAAGTACTTCACTTTATCATAGCTAAAATAAATTCAGAAGCAAAAATTATAATATGTAGGCTAAGAATCTTAGCCTTATGGATCACCCAATGGATGTTTGTTTTCTGTCTGGCTGACTATACTGCTACATCAACTAATCTCCAATAATTACATTGTGTCCAGTTTTTACCATCGTTTTTTTTCTGTCCTCTTTTTATTTAGACTACTTCTCTAGCTACTGGTCTCCTGCATAAAAGAGAGCAGAATAGAACAAGTAAATATGAGAGGTTGAGCCTTTGAGATTTTCATGAGTTTATGAGCATGACTTTATGAATTATATGCAAAATATGTTTGCTGTTCGTTGTCAGTTGCATAGAAGAGTTAGAAGAGGGGCCAGCCCTGTGGCTGAGTGGTTAAGTTCACATGCTCTGCTTTGGCAGCCCGGGGTTTCACCGATTCAGATCCTGGGCACGGATCTAGCACTGCTCATCAAGCCATGCTGAGGTGGTGTCCCACATAGCAGAACTAGAAGGACCTACAACTAGAATATACAACTATGTACTAGGGGGCTTTGAGGAGAATAAGAAAAAAGAAGAAGAGTTAGAAGAAAATGAGTGAGTTATAAGAAAAACAGTATGTTATTGAATTTAATTGTACCACTGCAGGAAAAAACAATGTCAATTAAACCATGACACATTCTCTTCTCATCACTTAGAATTTGAATTTTAACCTTATCAAATATGCTGTTTTAATCTTATTAGACGTAGCTATAACAGCAATACTAATATCTATGACCAAATTTGTGCACACACAGGCAATAATAAACTATATTATAATTTCAGCTTGACTGATAGCATTAGTAAGTTGGTTCTGGTTCTAATATACATCCCAATTTCAAAGGTTTTAAAATGTAGGGAAAAACATGTCTCAGAATCCATGAAATGCACATGAAATCCACGAAATACTCCAGTACGTCTGAAACCATCATAAGGAAGTGTAACTGATTTTTTTTTCAGCTATTATTTGAAAATAATACTTTCTTAATTTCTTCAGATAGACTTTGATTGCTTATGAGATTAGTTGGGGCAATATATTTTACCTTGAAGCAATATTAGTAGGAAAATATGGATATTTTAATTCTTTTTTATCTGTTTTTTCCTTTAGGTGAACAATGTGAAAGAGCTAGACGCCTTCAAGCTAAAATGATGACTAATTTGGTTATGGCCAAGGACCGTTTACAACTTCTAGGTATCAGTTAATGAATTGCATAATTGGAATGAGATGTATTTGAAATGTGTGTTCAGTGAAACTTTAAATATACCTGGAAATAGATCAGTGACCTTGAAAATATGACCTAGGCTTTTTTTTTTTAACTTAGAAAATTTCTAACATGTACACAGTAGAAGAGTATAATGAACTCCTAACTATTCGTCACTCATCTTTAATAATTATCAACTCATGGTCAGTCTTGATTTATCCATACCAAGGGATGGCAAACTACAGCCATTGGGCTAAACCCAGTTCACTGCCTATTTTTATAAGTAAAGTTTTACTGGCACAGAGCTACTCCCATTCTTTTACATATTGTCTGGCTGCTTTCATGCTACAATGATAGTGTTGAATAGTTGATACAGAGATCATACAGCCTTCAGAGCCTTTTAATATATAGCTTTTTTAAACGGTTTTAATATTTACTATTTGGCTTTTTACAGGAAAAGTTTACCAACTCCAGTTTATCTTCCTACCCACTTTCCCCAATTCATACTTTTTTTTTTTTTTTGAGGAAGATTAGCCCTGAGCTAACTTCTGCTACCAGTCCTCCTCTTTTTGCTGAGGAAGACTGGTCCTGAGCTAACATCCATGCCCATCTTCCTCTACTTTATATGTGGGATGCATGCCACAGCATGGTTTGACAAGCAGTGTGTAGGTCCTCATCCAGGATCCGAACCAGTGAACCCCGGGCCACCAAAGTGGAACATGCAAACTTAACCACTCTGCCACCAGGCTGGCCCCCCACTTCGTACTATTTTGAAACAAATTCTTGATGTTTTTAAATGTCATTCATAAGAATTTCATACTGTGTCCCTAAAAGATAAAGACGCTTTAAAAATAAAATGGCCAAAATACCATTATCATACCTAAAAAATAACCAATAGTTTCTTTTAATATTAACAAAAAAATAATGGCCAAAAGAAGGTCAGTGTTCATAATATAATTTATATATAATATAAAATATGTAATTTAAATAATATCCAGTTAGTGTTTCATAATTTAGTAACTCTTACTATTTTTTTTAATAATTTAGTTGTTTGAATCAGGATCTCAAGAAGATCCATACAGTATGTCTCTTTTAATATACAGGTACATCTGTTTTTCTTTTTCTTGCAATTTATTTGTTAATGAACCAGATCTTTGCCATATATTGTTTCCTACAGTCTGACTTTTGCTGCATGCATCTCCATGGTGTCTTTAAATGTGTTCTTCTGCCCTTCCTATACATTGATAGTTGGATATAGAGCCTTGATTGGATTGAAAGTTGATTTTTATTTTTTAATAATAGACTACTTGATGGGTGGTTGTGTGTTCACCCATCAGTAGTTCTGACATCTTGTGATATTAGCAGCAGTTGATACTGATGTATAGTGACAAAATTCTGTCATTCTTTCTGCATTCATTAGCTGGAATAGGTCTATATAGGTCTCATCTTCTATTTGATGTATAGTTTTTAAAAAGGTATTCTTAAGGTAAACTATCCCTAAAACAAAGTGGAACTAAAACACGCCTTTCTTGGGTGGTTTTAACATAGCTTAATATGATAGAAATAGTATATATTTGGTAAACAGGCAGAGCTCATTTATTCATTGCTCTGTGATTTGTGGTAGGTTATTCAGCATACGTGAAGCTTCTTTACCTCATTTGTAATATGAGGCTAATAGATAATATACCTCACCATATTTGTGACCATTGAATTATTGAACAAACCTCACCCATAGTAAGTACACAAAAATGCTGATTTTTGTTCATCTCCTTACTTGTCTGTAATCACCACCCCTGCTTTTGTGGAAATACGTATATCCACACCTGTCTATATATATTTCATTCATTCATTCATTCTTGTATGGTCCATTGTGTTTGTAAGTTTTTTGCCCCACATCGTTGAAAAAGAGACCCATACTGTTTTCAGGTCGCTAACAAGGCAATGTTCCCCTGGCTCCTGTGGCTGACAGAGTTTGTCTTCTTACTTCCTAAGTGAAGATTATTACTGTATCAAATATAATTAAATATTATATCAAAGGTTATTCTAATAAAATAATCATCTAATTGTTCTAATTGGTACTTTCAGTGTTTTAACTATAATGCCTTTTAGTATATGTACAAAGTAGCATATGATGCAGATTGTTTGATGATGGAACATTTTGTAACATGTTTCGAATTAAATCATTATTTTTTATCTTTTATATGAAGTTGTGATATGATAAAACATTGGAATCATCTCATCAATTATAGACTTGTCTTTAAATGTGACTTTGTAATTTCCTGTGTTATTAGAAGAGAGGACAAAAAGAGGATATATAGAACATGAAGCTAGCTATTAAAAGAGTTAATATTTTGGATGTTGTTGTCTATTGTCATCCTCAAAAGTGCTGTGTGCCACTCATGAAAGATGTTACTTTGAAACGGAGTGGGTGGGATAGGAGACATCAACATACTCCTGTTTTCTAGGAACTCAGAAAATCTGGGAGTATATATTACCAAAGACAGTAAAAAAGAGCTGTGCACAAATGCATAGTAGAGCATATTTGTGTCTTATGTGTTGGTTAAGAAATGGAGGTTTTCAAAGGTGGGATGCCTGATAGGTATCTAATTAAGATGGAGAGGTCTCCATTCAGACTGGTTTGAGAGGATGCAGCCTCTCTCATAAAGATGGGAAGAGTTCATTTATATTATATATTTTCAGTTTAGTGAAAATGAACCTTAGAGCAAAGCTTAACTGTAAGACCTGCTATAGATGGATGATTTTGGCATTGGCATCTTAGTATACCTGGAGGTTACATTTTTTTTAAAAAATCCAGCTTCATTCAACATCCTTTTATTAAGTCCTTACTCTGTACTAGGTACAGTGCCAAGGAATATAAACAGTGTATTTATTAACTCAGCAAATATTTATTGGTAATTACCATGTGCTAGGTACTGTTCTAGGCGCTTTAGGATACAGACAAGAATCCCTCCTTCGATAGAATTTATAGTCTATCAGGGAGTAAGCAGTAAACATAAAAAAGATAAATTGTACGACATGTTAGGTGATAAATATATGGAAAAAAGAAAAATGAGAACACAGTAAAGGGAGATTAGGGGTGGACAGGAGGTGGTTTGGGTTTTTAGCTTTAAATAGGATGGTCAGGGTATGCCTTTTTGAGAAGTTGACATGAGTTAGCCATGCAGGTATCTGGGAGAAGAATGGTCCAGAGAGAAGTAAGAGCTGATAAAAGGCCGTAAGAGGCCTTAAAAAAGATAAGTAGAAGTTGTTAGAGACTGTTTGGGCGAAAAGACATTTTGGGAAGGTGTAACAGCGTGAACAAAGATTCAAGGGCAAGAAACAGCATGGTGAGAAGGAAGGGTGATAGTAGAGACGTAAAGTTGGGATTGCTGAGGCATGAGAAATGTAGGCACATTATGGAAAACCTTGTTTGTCATAGAAAGGAGCTTGAGTGGTAATCTCTGGGCAATGGGAAGCTGCTAAAGGGTTTTAAGCAAGGGAGTTATATGGTAAGATTTTCCTTTTTAGTAGATCACTCAGATGATTGTGTGGGGATTGCATGTGAGGGGATCAAGAAGCAAGGTGACTGTTTTGTTTTGAATCATTGATTAATCTATGCAACCTTTAGTCATTATAAAAGGAAGCAGTAAGTTAAGTTTACTTTCTTTTACAAAACTGAATTGGAGGGGCCAGCCTGGTGGCACAGCAGTTAAGTTTGCACGTTCTGCTTTGGTGGCCCAGGGTTTGCTGGTTCAGATCCCAGGTGTGGACCTACGCACTGCTTCTCAAGCCATGCTGTGGCAGGTGTCCAACATATAAAGTAGAGGAAGATGGGCACAAATGTTAGCTCAGGGCCAGTCTTCCTCACCAGAAAAGAGGAGGATTGGCAGCGCTTGTTAGCTCAGGGCTAATCTTCCTCAAAAAGAAAAAAGAAAATGAATTGGAGCAGGTTCACATTAACAGTGTACTGCAATTGTGTATATGTGTGTTTCTATGCATATAGATCTAAAACCTACACAGCTAAAAATGAGTTCTTGGCTTTCTTTTTTTCTGCTTTTTCTCCCCAGTCCCCCCGGTACGTAGTTGTATATTTTAGTTGTGGGTTCTTCTAGTTGTGGTATTTGGGACGCTGCGTCAACATGGCCTGATGAGTGATGCCATGTCGGCGCTCAGGATCCAAACTGGCAAAACCCTGGGCTGCTAAACCAGAGCACGCGAACTTAACCACTTGGCCACGGAGCCGGCCCAGCAGTTCTTGGCTTTTTATTCCTAGTTATTGGTTATCGAAACTAAGGATTTAATTTCTGTTTATTTTTACTATATAATGAAGGTTTCATTGAACTTTTTGTTGCATTTCATTGAAGAAAGTGTTAATTGATAAAGAAGACATTTACAAATCAGTGTTTTTTCTAATTTATGTCTTTTACGAACACAAATGGTTTCTTTCTCAGTATGGTGATTTGAGGAGTATTATCACTGAGAAAAATCAGATGACCTACCTGTTAACTAACAAAAAAAAGCTCCTAGGTATATTGTATCAGCCAGTTCTAGGATACAAAAGCTGTGCAGTACTTTGTGCTTTCTGTAGAAAGGGTAGCTGCTATTTAACCTGTCCCAAAGGCATGTGTGGTTGTACCGTAAACCAAGCATGGTGCCTGCTTGTCTGACGTTAGAAATGAAAGTTTAGGAGAGTTAGTATACATGTGCTGCGTTTTTGCATATATTCATTGACTTCGTAGTACACAAGAAAAGACTCAGCCGTGGCAACTTGGAGTATTTTGACAAAATAAATATGGTAAAAATTGACCCCCTATTACAAATGAAGCACAGGGTAGGTGCTTTATGTTTATTATTTTATTTAATCCTTGATACCCTCAGAAAACTGAGGCTAAAGCAAGTTCATACTAGTGAGTAAGTGGTGGAGCAGGGTGTTTGTCAGCTAGCAGTGTGTATTTGACTTGAGAAAGTGCAGCAGTGACATAGGGTGGCAAGGAAGCTCACACTGCTACCCTCTTGGGTTTCAGGTACTAGACATAGAGACTCAGATCTGGGAAGGATTTGTTGTTGTTATTTGAAGTGGAGATAGGTTAAAATAATCCTTTTAGGGGCTCGCCTGATGGCGTAGTGGTTAAGTTCATGTGCTCCACTTCAGTGGCCCAGGGTTCGCTGATTCGGATCCCAGGCACAGACCTACACACTGCTCGTCAAGCCATGTTGTGGTGGTGTCCCACATACAGAATAGAGGAAGACTGGCACAGATGTCAGCTCAGGGACAATCTTCCTCAAGCAAAAAGAGGAGATTGGCAACAGGTGTTAGCTCAGGGACAATCTTCCTCACCAAAAAAATAATAATAATAATCCTTTTAGATCTTTAATTGGTTAATTTTTAAAGTAGGTAATATAGGCACATGCTACAAAATTTTTAAAGTATGAAAAACATCCATCCCATGCTATGCCCCAGTCACTCATTTCCCCTCCCCAGAGGCAGCTGCTATTACCAGTTTCTCTGGGTCCTTTTTAGGGGTAATCTTCGTGTATACAAATGTGCACATGTGTGTTTAAATAAATGGTGGAGTACTATATGCACAATTCTGCAGCATGCTTATTCCATTCTGCTTTGTTACCTTTATTTTTTGCCCTACACATGTAGCTGAATATGGCATTTCCTAGACACTCCTTATAGTTTTCTTCTGTGTCATTTTAAGTGCTGTTCTCTTTTCCTGAAATGTCCTTTCTTTTTATCTTTTCAAATTCTAGCCAACTCACAGTCCACTTCCTCTGTAAAGCCTTTTTAATGTTCTCTTTCTTTGGTGCTATACCATCTTTTTAAAATAAATATATATATTTGTGTTGTAAGTTGCCAACTATATTTAATAAGTGTCTGGGTGGTAGAGACCATATTCATCTTTTTATCTCCATACTGCTCTCCCTTCACAATGATTTGCACATACTAAATATTTAGTAAATATTTGCCGGTGATAGTAGTGAGATGAAACTGCGTCAGGTAACCAAATCTGAATCAGGCATATTTTGAACATGGCCATTCACTTATTAATTTCTATTGCTATTTTAATGTCTGAGTTTTTACTAATTATACTTTTAAGATACTTTTATATAAATGCAAAAACCCTTCACTATATAACAAGCTTGTAACACCTTGAGTCATTTTTCATTTTCACATGCACATTTTATTTGGTCATTATGTATTTTTTTCTTTTTGTTTATTTTGTTCTTTTTGCCCCCCTCTGTTGCATAGAGAAGCTGCAACCAGTTTTGCAATTTTCCAAGTCACAAACGGATGTCTATAATGACAGTACTAACTTGACGTGCCGCAATGGACATCTCCAGTCAGGTGGGTTTAGGTTAACTAACATATAAAATAATAAAGCTTGCATGCAAAGTAGAGTCCTACTTAACTCATAATGTTGATTTGATTTTATAATGCTAGATTTAATTGGTTTTTGTTTCCGCAGGGCTGTGTTGAAAATACAGTGTCCCTGTCATCATTCATGGTGTATAAAAATCTAACGAATAAGATATAACCATTCTCAACATGCTTTATTTGCATATTTTGCAGCCTCCAGTTTTGAGATTTTATAATATGAAGGTTCATTTTCGTAAAGTATTAAAATATCCTTTTGTTTCTTTTGTATTTTCAGTGTTTGTGATTTTCTTATGGATAGCTGTACCAAATCTTTATGAAGGAGTGTTTTTTAGGACAAATTTTAATTTTTCTTCATTATGTATCAATTTTCATGGCATGTCAGTTTTCATATATATTTTACATGAATGTTTTGTCATAGTACCTGTTAGAGAAAATTCGAAGCTGAGTTCACATAGTGAGGAGAAACATTAGAATACTATGATTTACTATGGGTTAAATGTATTTTCCATGAACTTTTGGTTATCAACTCCTACAGAACATTAAATGTGTTTTGATTTGGTTTGGTTTGCTTGGGAGGAATCTTCATTTCCTAGGTTCTCTGACGTCTTGGCTGGTTTTATTGGTGGCTTTTTCAGCATTAGTTTCATGTCCAGAGCTTAAATTTTATTAAAGCAAATATTACTTCATTCACACTGTAGCAGAAAAACCTTAGTTTAGACTATAAAACGACTGCCTTCTTTAATTGTATTTAATACAAAACGTTTAAGATTTTAATAGAGAAGAGAAAGTGGATTTCTGTGGCTGGAAGAGACAATTGGTCGTCAGCTCTTTCCCTTGTGGCTTCTCCTCTCCATTAAGGAGTTCTCACTTTGGTTTGGTCTTCCAGTAGAGAGACCCGGGTCAGTGGCTATATTCCTTTCCCTGTTCCTTCTTTGTCTGATTTAAAATACCATTTCAAGTATAGAGATAAGTATTTTGCCTATTTCTCTTAGCATGGCTATGAAGGGCTGACATTTTCATAAGGAAGTTTTTGAAAAAACAAAGACGTAAGACTGTACCACATGTAAATAGTTAAATTCCAAAATACAAGTTTGAGATCTTAATAATCCTACCAGGGTAAACAACAAAAAATTATTAGCCCTGAAAAACTGGAGTGCCTTTCCCTTGTTATCTTGATTCTCTTCTGCTTCATTCCACATGTAAGATCCCATTGTATTTTTCTGTTATGCAAAAAAAAAAAAAAAAAAGGCAAACTTCTCTTCCTGGGACCCATTGGAAAAAAAATCAAACTATTTCAGATTCCTAGTAATCTTCTATTAATTCTGTTTTCTACTTTGGGGAACAAAATGACTTCACAGCTAATTTATGCAGCACTGGTGTTTAATAACCATTCAGTCCTAATGAATGAGCTGGCTCACTCAGGCCCAGTTATTAGTGTCACTCACTTCTGGAACATTCTGTGATGTTTCACTTGGATGAGTTACTTGCTCTCTCTCAGAAATAGTTATGCCAGAGTCTACTTATTACTACAATGTATTACCTACAATGTCCAATTTTCGGCTCAAAATTACTAGACATGCAAAGAAATAGGAAAGTGTGATGCTTACTCAAGAAAAACAAATCAGAAACTGACTCTTGAGTGGGCCCAAATGTTGAATTTAGCAAAGACTTTAAAGCAGCTATTATAAATATGTTCAAAGAATTAAAAGAAAATATGGCATCAGTTAACAAACCTGCAATCTTAACAAATAATATAAACTACACAATAAAAATAATGAAAATTCTAACGTTGAAAAGTACAGTTGCTGAAATAAAAAATTTATGGGGCCAGCCTGGTAGTGTAGTGGTTGGGTTTGTGTGCTCACTTCGGTGGCCTGAGGTTTGTGGGTTTGGATCTTGGGCGCAGATCTATGAACCACTCATTAAGCCATGCTGTGGTGACGTCCCACATCCAGAATGAAGGAAGATTGTCACAGTTGTTAGCTCAGGGCCAATCTTCCTCACCAAAAAAATTAATTAATTACTTAAAAATTTACTAGATAGCCTCTACAGCAGATGTGAGATGTTAAATGAAAAATTCAGTGACCTTGAACTTAGATCAATAGAAATTACTAAGTCAGATGACTCCTATATTGTCAGAAAGCAGTTAGTGATTGCCTAGGGCCAGGGGCAGTAAGAGGGATGGAGTGCAAATAGATACAAGGAAACTTTAGGCTATGATGGAAATATTTTGTATCTTGATTTTGGTGGGTATTTCACAGTTATATTTATCTTTAATATAAACTCGTCTAATTGTACATTTTAAATGGATGCAATTTATTATTTGTAGGTTATACCTCAAGAAGGTTGATTAAAAGCAAATACTGAAAAATTTATAAAGAAAAATACTACTCCCCTTTCCACCTCTTCCTTCTCTCTTCCTTACCTTCACCCCTAGTTTGCCTCTCATACAGTGTTCAGCTCTTTTTGCTATTTTTTCTTGTGCTTCCTACTATATTTTCAAATATTGTGCTTATATTAAGATTTCTGATTTATCAATTTTTGATATATATTGACTTCTTCTTTGGGTGGAAGAAGGTTTAATTCTCTTATGCCACCATCACCCTTCATCTCCATATATGTGTGTATGTATATATATCTCTCACTATTTTTAGTTATATTGAAGTCATGTTATTATGACTTAGTAAATATTGTTGACCCAAAGCCAAATAGTATGTTCCAATTATATTTCCTTTTTTGAGTTTTTCCTCTGCACAGATTATCAGATTTTTCTTGTTCTCTAACTTTGTATTGGAGTTTTTTTACTCCTTTCTATTTAATTTGCTTTTTAACTAAAAGACCTCCTTTCATAGTTCTTTTTTTTTTTTTTTTTAAGATTTTGTTTTTTCCTTTTTCTTCCCAAAGCCCCCTGGTACATAGTTGTATATTCTTAGTTGTGGGTCCTTCTAGTTGTGGCATATGGGATGCCGCCTCAGCATGGCCTGATGAGCGGTGCCATGTCTGTGCCCAGGATTCGAACTGGCAAAACCCTGGGCTGCCGCAGTGGAGCGCTCGAAGTTAACCACCTGGCCACGGGGCCGGCCCCTGTAGTTCTTTTAATGAGAGTTTGTAGATAGTAAACTCTCTTTAATCTCTCTAATGTCTGAAAATATCCTCATTCTTATGTGACAGGTCATCTGGGTAAAGAATTGATATAGGCTAACACTTTTTTCCCTTCAGCATTTTGAACATAAGCCATTACCTGCTGAGCTTTGTTATTTTTTATGAAAACTCTGCTGTCATTCTCATAGTTTCTTGTGGAAATTTCTTTCCATTTATAGGCTCAATACTATATATTTTCTGTCTGAAGGAATTCTTTTCCAGTCTCCTTTTTTTCCTCTGAAATTATTATTTATCATTACCCCAGTCAGATCTTGCTTATCTTCACATCTTTGCTTTTGCTTATTGTCATATTGGAATCCTTTCCTGGTCCTTCCTTTAGGGTCACTATCCATTAGTTCCTTGAACACATGATTCAGAACTTTACATTTATCTACTGGAAAAAACCCTTGATCATCTTACTCTATCTGAAGTTCCCTTCTTTTGAGTTTTCTTATCATTTGGGTATGCCTTTACTAATTATCATATATTGTATTTGTTCTCTATTTGTCTTCTGTACATTGAATCTCTTCTTGAGGAAAAGGATCATATTTCATTTCTTATTACTATTTGTCATCACCTAGTACACTGTACGTATTGGACGTTTGATATACTTGTTTAATTAAGTGAATCTTCAATCCTAAGACCCTTGGGGAGGTAGGGATAGTTTCAGCTTCTAAACGTGACTGAAATAATTCTGGGAGACCTATTCATTTATGTCCTAGAACAACAATCCAAGATAGTCCAGAGGGAGTCTATAATAATCTTCATGATTATCATAAATTTGATTATTGTAATCTAAGTGAATGATTCAAAGTTGATCAAGTATTTGGGTGAATGGTTAAAACTGTCTTTCTCAATGCTATATATTCTTCCACTTGTCTTAGAGGTCCTGATTTTTGTCCCACACTGCCACTTAAAAATTCAATCTCAATATTCAGAATCTTATTTTAAGGTATCCTGAATGTTGGTTTTTTCTTTGACTTGAATTTTATTTACTCTTTCTGATTTTGTAACAATTTGCCTGAGATAAACTGTTTGGTTCTCTAAATAAGCTAATTTCTTACACCAATTGACAGTCCTTTGTTTCCTTAAACCATATTAAGGAATTTGATGACAAAAGCAAAAATAATGCTATTGTCTTTTCTCTTGGCTACTCTAATTTGCTGACTGATTTTTAACATTTGTCTTCACAGTAAACATTGATATTGATAAACTCTGATGTTTGTTAGATGGTATATAAAAATATTATTTAGAAGCAGTGGGATTTGAACATTTGAAAGTGTGTAGTTTATCTAGAAGAGCACTGTAGGGAGGTAGGTAGGTCAAATAAACTTTTAGACTTAATTGAAGGTGTTCTCTACATGTTTATTGACATATATACAGCACATCTTTATACTCTTTAAATTAAAATTGATTAACTTAAGAAGCTTTTGGTGGGTGCAGACTGTAGACTTTCATATTTTATAGTCCTTTTTTTTTTTTTAGGAAGATTAGCCCTGAGCTAACTACTGCCAATCTTCCTCTTTTTGCTGAGGAAGACTGGCCCTGAGCTAACATCCATGCCCATCTTCCTCTATTTTATATGTGGGACGCCTACCACAGCATGGCTTTTTGCCAAGTGGTGCTGTGTCCACACCGGGATCTGAACCGGTGAACCTGGGCCACCGAGAAGCGCAACGTGCACACTTAACCACTGCGCCACCAGGCCAGAACTCTTTTTTTTTTTTTTTTGAAGATTTTTATTTTTCCTTTTTCTCCCCAAAGTCCCCTGGTACATAGTTGCATATTGTTTTTAGTTGTGGGTCCTTCTAGTTGTGGCATGTGGGACGCCCCCTCAGCATGGCCTGATGAGCAATGCCAGGTCCACGCCCAGGTTTTGAACTGGCCAAACCCTGGGCTGCTGAAGTGGAGCACGTGAACTTAACCACTCGGCCATGGGGCCTGCCCCTTTTATAGTCTTAAAAGTTTAGGAGGGGGCTCACCTGGTGGCATAGTGGTTAAGTTCTCGTGCTCCACTTTGGTGGCCCAGGGTTCGCTGGTTCGGATCCTGGGTACGGACCTACACACCACTCATCAAGCCATGCAATGGTGGCATCCCAAATACAAAATAGAGGAAGATTGGCACAGATGTTAGCTCAGGGCCAGTCTTCCCCACACACACACAAAAAAAGTTTGAGACCAAGATAATGCTGTGCCTTTTTTCTTCTGTACAAGGTATCCCTAATGACTTTACTGCATTTTGTTTCTTCAGTGTTTGGCAGCTTTATTTGCTTGGTATCCTTCCTATGTCCTCCTCCTGTCCCCACAAATAAAATTGTTTCTTTTTATTATGAATACATATTCTTTATAAGAAAATTAGAATATACATCAGGAAAAGGAAAAACCTAAATAACCATAATCTTGTCTGCCCAGTGACACCACCTGTGGACACCCTAATATATATTCTGATTGAAATCTTATTTTAAAATATTGGTGAAGTAAAAAAAATTATTAGCTTGGGTTTGCACATTTGTACTGGTCTTTATCATTACTTTTTATAATGTTTAGCCACAGTTTTCTAACCATGATGGTTTTACTTTTTCCTTGATAGAAAGTGGAGCTGTTCCGAAGAGAAAAGATCCCTTAACACACACTAGTAATTCACTGCCTCGTTCAAAAACAGTTATGAAAACTGGATCCACAGGTCTTTCGGGCCACCACAGAGCACCTAGTTGCAGTGGTTTATCCATGGTGTCTGGAGTGAGACAGGGACCTGGTCCTGCAACTGCCACTCATAAGGTATTTGAAGGCAATAACTTTAACTGCTATGCCTTTGCAAATAGAAAATTTTGAACATGTTATGCTTGCTTAAGTTTATTACAAGTACTTTATAATACCTTAGGGAATTGATAGGTTTCCACAAAGTTGCATATAATTTTTCCTTTTTTAAATCTACAGGAGCAACTTGCTATTAAAAAGCAAATCTTATTTTAACTCCTTTTGGACCTATTTAGGTTCTTTATAGCAAGTGTGCTTATTCAGTCTGTTTCATATAATGCTATATAGAGTTCATTTTAAATTTGATCTTTTAATTGTTTAAATCTATGTAAATATTTTATAACATTAAACATACCTAGAGTCTTCTTATAATTCTAACAAGGATCAAGATTATATGACTGTGTTGTTACAGAGCCTTTTTATTTTGTAGTAACTAAATCTCTTTAGATAAAATCCTCTACAAACCCACTTCATACCAAATGTAGTTCTGTCATGAATGCCATGTTACCTTGAAGTAAATATATAATTTTTGGATTTTTATATTCTTTTCCCTATTTTTAAAGCTTTAATTCTGTGAACCTTAAGATTAATTCACTTGTGAAAAGTGTAAATGTTAGATTGTGTTTTCACGTTAAAACTTTGTGTCCTTTCAGAGTACTCCAAAAACAAATAGAACAAATAAACCTTCTACCCCTACAACTGCTGCTCGAAAAAAGAAAGACTTGAAGAATTTTAGGAATGTGGACAGCAGCCTTGCTAACCTTATAATGAACGAAATTGTGGACAAGTAAGTTTTGCCATCTGAAGTGTTTTATTTTACAGTTTTAATTTTTGAATTTAATTTGTAAAATGTATCATGAGTGAAATAGATAAATACCTTGTCTGACTTACATATTTAATTTTTATGATGGTTTTAAATTACTGTAAATGTAGAAAACCATTGCTTTACTTGATTTAACAATAGTTTCACAGTTAACACAAAAATGACTGTTTCATGGAGCTTAAACTTCATATTATAACATCTGAAGCATATTTCTATTGTAGAGCTAACTGAAATTCTCTCTCTTAGTGGAACAGCTGTTAAATTTGATGATATTGCTGGCCAAGAGTTGGCAAAACAAGCATTGCAAGAAATTGTTATTCTTCCTTCTTTGAGGCCTGAGGTAAGGACTTATGTTATCATTTTCCTGTAACATCATCCATTACTGAATCCATAGTAGCAGTAAAGAAATGTTTCTGCTTTGCTAGAATGATTAATTCATATAATCATGTAACAGTAGATTTAATGTTTTTAAAAAGAAAAAACATTAGCAATTCATGTTGACTAGTTATTATAGGAGAGGAGAATGACTATAAGGGTTCCTAATTCCCAGTCCAGTAACATTTATAGGAAAAGCAGGTAATAGGAAATAATCTGTATATCAAGCATTTAAAATTAAGAGACAGAAATCATACTGAAGAAAAGGGAAATTAAGATAAAATTATTCATTGAGTCTAAGTTTGAAGAACAATTTCTAAAAGAATTATTTTCAAGGCTATTAAGTCATCAAAGTAAGTATAGAGCCAGTGAATGATGGGTAGGGACCTAACCTTCCATCCCATAGTTTTAGATTCACTAAAGAAGTTAGGTAGTCTTGTAATTGATAATAAATACTGAATTTTCCATACTTAGCACTGTTTTGGATTTTCACAATTCACAGTTTATATATTTGATGCTGTTCTGATAATGTTGCAAAAAATAAATCTGAGAATCCACTTCTGGATCACTTATTTCTCTTCTCCCTGAACCTTCAAGGCTTATCAACCCATTTACAAAATCTAGTGGAAATAGATGTTTTATGGCAACTGTACTGGAACTTACTGAATATTTTTTGTTTGCTTGCTTTATATTACTTCTTATTCTAAGTAGCTATGTACATGAAATCACTGGTTTGTTATACTGATTGAACTTTTACTAGTACACAATAAAATAATTAGAGAATTATTAACATAGAAAGCATTTGTCCTTACATGAACCAGATTTATCTGTTGTACCACTTCAGGCCACACTTGGGTAAACATATTGTAGCTTTTATAGTGGGCTAACTTTTTGCTGGAGTTATAGAAGAGTAGTAAATGCAGTAGACTGAGTATTGACAAAAAATGCTTACTGAAAGGATTCACACAATTGTAGACCTGAAAAAGATCTTAACAGTCATTTAGTCCATTGATAAAGAAAGTCCTGGGACTGGCCTTGTGGCCTACTGGTGGTGAAGTTCAGTGCTCTCCACTTTGGTGGCCCGGGTTCGCAGGTTCGAATCCTAGGCATGGGACTCCACCACTTGTCAGCCATGCTGTGGTGGTGACCCACATGTAAAATAGAGGAAGATTGGCACAGATGTTAGCTCAGGGCTAATCTTCCTCAGGAAAAGAGAAGAAACTAGTCCCAAGAGCTAAAATTACCTGCTCAAGGTTATAGTTAAGTAATAGAACTAGGAAATGAAATAAAAAATAAGATTCCTAAGAATAGAACTGCCTCCTCAATGCTATAGCTGCCACCTAATAATTAAGTGTAGGTTTTAGTATTTATTAAGTCCCATTCTTTTTAGGGTAGAGAAACATACCTAAAATTGTGAAGGCAGGGTAGCGGTTAAGTTCACATGTTCCCCTTTGGCAGCCCGGGGTTCACCAGTTCAGATCCTGGATGCGGACCTATGCATCGCTCATCAAGCCATGCTGTGGCAGGTGTCCCACATATAAAATAGTGGAAGATGGGCACGGACGTTAGCTCAGGGCCAATCTTCCTCAGGAAAAAGAGGAGGATTGGTGGTGGATATTAGCTCAGGGCTAATCTTCCTCAAAAAAAAAAAAAAGAAAATTGTGAAGGTAGTTACTAAGGAAATATTTGGACCGTGCTAGAAGTCAGCTTCTGCTTTACCCCATACCTTTAGAGAACGCATTTTTCCACTTTTCACTTTAGAACTTTATTATTTTTGAGTAATAATCCTATAAAACTAATTCTTTATTTTTTTAATTTATTATCTATTAACTTTATGAACCCTTAGCTCCATTATACCACACATTCCCTACCCCATCCTCCCAGTATAGTTATATCACAGCTGTAAGTTAAATCAATATTCAGTGCTTATCAATATTATTCACTACCAAGTCAAGTAGAGTACTATGTTATTTTTTTCTTGTATAGCTTCCCCCCCCCCCCCCCCGCAGAGTAGATAATTGTGTGTGTGTTGGGGGGGGGGTTTATTTGCTTAGTTTTCAACTTAGCAAATGATAATTTTTCCTCCACCATTTCAGTCCAATTTTCCACATGGTCAAACCAATCCAAAAATCTGTTTAGCTCATTTCTTTTTTCTTAGAACCCCTTTTCTAGAATTGCCTTCTTCTATTCCATTCAAGACCAGTTGCTCTCTATGCCAGTTTTAAAGCCATTTTGTAATCTCTCTTCACCATCATCATGGGACTTTCCTTTGTCTTTCTACTATGTTGGATCTCTTGGGTGTTTTTGGATTCTGTATTTTCTACTTTCACAGTTTATTTTCTCATTTTGATATCATCCATCCTCCAGTAAGTTCCTGAAAAAGGGTCATGTGAGGCAATTTTTTGAGATTTCACATATCTCAAAATATATATATTTTACCATCTTCCCTTGTTGATAATTTGATTGGATGTCAACATTTAGGTTGGAAATTATTTTCCCTTAGCATTTTAAAATCATCATCTGTTGTATTCTAGCTTCCAGTGTTGCTTTGTATTAGTTACAAAGGATCAAGAATCAGAAAAGCAATGGACTTATTTTTATTTCTCAAAGATTTGGGGATCTTCTCTTTATCCTTGCTGTTCTGATATTTTATGATTTACTTGATGCATTTTCTTTTTCTCATTTTTTTTCTTAGTGGGTGCCTTTCTGAATATCCTCCAGTTCTGAAAAAGGTTCTAGAATTCTTTGTTTCCCATTACTATCTTTGTTTCATGTTTCTAAAAAAATTTTAAGATAGTTCTTAAACCCTACTGAATTGGTCTTCTAATTTTTTTCTTTCCTCTTTGGTCTTCGTTTCTTTGTCCTTTGTTGTGCTTGCTGGGAGATTTCATCAAATTTATTTTCCAACTATTTCCCTGAAATTTCGGATAGTATATCTTAGCTTCTGAGAACTCTTCCTAGTCCTTTGATCCTTTTCTTTGCTTCCTATTCTTGTTTCATAGATGCAGTCTCTTCCTTTATGTTTCTAAGAGTATTAATTATAGCTTTCGTGAAGTCTTTTTTACTACATTCTTTGTTTCTTCTTTTTTTTCTTTTAACTCTTTTTTTTTTTTTTTAAAGATTGGCACCTGAGCTAACTAACAACTGTTGCCAATCTTCTTTTTTGTTTTCTTTCTGCTTTTTCTCCCCAAATCACCCCAATATATAGTTGTGTATTTTAGTTGTGGATCCTTCTATTTGTAGTACATGGGACGCCACCTCAACGTGGCCTGATAAGTGGTGCCATGTCCTTGTCCAGGATCCGAACTAGAGAAACCCTGGGCTGCCATAGCAGAGTGCGTGAACTAAACCACTCGGCCACGGAGCCAGCCCCACTTTTAACTCTTTTATATTGGTAGCTTCTCTCAAATATCTGATTATCATGGTTTTCCATTCATGCTAGAGATAAACAATAAAAATTTTGATTAGCAACTCTATACAGATATGTAGAGCTTGTTGACTAGTAGGAACTTGATGATCATGGAATGATCAAGCAGTAAGTCTGCTGTTTATTTGGTTTCTCCAAATGACTGTAGCTGTAGCTCTTTGTTTTAGAGGTTATTCAGATTCTTTAGAAAAGAATTTTCTGGTCACTGTTTTAGAGAATATAATCTTGACTATTGGTGTTCTAGAAGAGGGGTGGGAGAAATGACCTAGTTTTCTGTCAGATCAAACCAATGACGTTACTGTTTTGATAGGTCAAAAATAGTTGAATACCTTTGTTTACAGATGATGTGATTGTCAGTGTAAAAAAAAAAGCCCAAAAATTAAAAATAAAATCCCCCAGAACTAATAAGTGATTGTAGCAGAGTTGTAGGATACAAAGTTAATATACAAAAGTTACTTGCTTCCTTAAATACCAGCAATGAACAATTGGAATTTTTTTTCTTCTCCCCAAAGCCCCCCAGTACATAGTTGTATATTCTAGTTGTATATCCTTGTTGTTCTGCTGTGTAGGACGCTGCCTTAGCATGGCTTGATGAGTGGTCCTCGGTCCATGCCCAGGATCTGAACCAGTGAAACCCTGGGTCACTGAAGCGGAGCACACAAACTTAACCACTTAGCCACAGAGCCAGCCCCAACAATTGGAATTTGAAATTAAAAACACAATACCATTTACATTAACACCAAAAAATACTTAGGTATAAATCTAACAAAATATATCATACAACATCTACATAAGGAAAACTATAAAACTGATGAAAGAAATCCAAGATCTAGGTAAATGGAGAGACACTCCACATAAATGGGTAGGAAGACTCAATATTATCAAAGTATAGAGATTTAACACAATCTCAGTCAAGACTCCACTCAGTTATCTTGTGGATATTGACAGATTGATTCTGAAGTTTATATGGAGAGACAAAAGACTCAGATGAGCCAAGGAAGGAGAAGAACAAAGTAGGAGAGCTGACACTACCTTCATTCAAGGCCTACTATAAAGCTACAGTAATCCTGCAGCATTATTCACAATAGGCCAGACATGCAGACATCTTAAGTGTTCGTTGATAGATGAATAGATAAATATAATGGAAGATTATTTAGTCATGAAAAGGAAGGAAATCCTTCCATTTGCAACAATATGGGTGGACCTTGAGAGCATTATGCTAAGTGAAATAAGTCAGAGAAACAAATACTGTATGATCTCACTTATATGTGGAATCTAAAAGCATGGAACTTATAGAAACAGAATAGAATGATGATTGCCAAGGGCTGAGGGGTGGGGGAAATGAGATGTTGGTCAAAGGGTACAAACTTTCAGTTTTAAGTTGAGTAAGGTCTGGGGATCTAATGTATAGAATGGTGACTATAGTTAACAATACTGTGTTGTAACATACTGTATTGTATATTGCTATGAGAGTAGAGCTTTAATGTTCTCACCATAACAACAACAAAATGGTGATTGTGTGAGGTGAAGCATGTGTTAACTAACCTTATTGTGGTAGACATTTTGTAATATACGTGTGTGTCAGTCATCACACCTTCAACTTACATAATGTCAATTATATCTCTCAATAAAGCTAGAAAAATATTTAAAAATGAAGAAGTGCTACAATAATCAAGACAGTATGTCATTGGCGACAGCATCATAATAGACAAATAGATCAATAGAACAGAATAGAGAGCCCAGTAACAGACCCATGCAAATGTAGTCAACTGATCGTTGACAAAGGAGCAAAGGCAATTTGATGGAGAAAGGATAGCCTTTTCCACAAATGGTGCTGGAACAACTGGATATCCACATGCAAAAAACTGTAACTAGGGCCAGCCCTGGTGCTTTGTGGTTAAGTTCAGTGTGCTCTGCTTCAGCAGCCTGGGTTGGGTTTCTGGGTGTGGACCTACACCACTCATCAGTGTGGCAGTGGCTCACATACAAAATAGAGGAAGATTGGCTACAGATGTTAGCTCAGGGCAAATCTTCCTCAGCAAAAAAGAAAAAAGAAAAAAAGAATCTAGACACATACTTCACACTTTTCATAAAAATTAATTCAAAGTTGGTCACAGGCCCTAAGTATAAAAGGCAAACTAAACTGTAAAACTCCTAGAAGATAACATAGGAGAAAGTCTAGGCGATCTTTGGTTTGACAAGAACTTATTGGTGATCCTTGAAATAAAAAAATTAGTAAGTTGAAGTTCACTAAAATTCAAAACTTCTCTCTAAAAGACGTTGTTAAAAGAATGAAAAGACAAGCCACAGACTGGGACAAAATTTTTGTAAAACATATAATAAAGGACTGGTATCTAAAATATACAAAGAACTCTTAAAACTCGACAAGAAGAAAACAAACAACCCAACTAAAACATGGGTAAAAGATCTGAACAGACACTTTACCGAAGAAGAGATACAGATGTCAAACAGGCATATGAAGAAATGCTCAACATCGTTCATCATTAGGGAATTGCGAGCTAAACAACAGTATGATATCACTACATACTTATTAGGATGGCTAAAATTCAAAACACTGACAGCAGCAAATGCTGATGAGGATGTAAAGCAGCAGGAACTCTCATTCACTGCTGGTCGGGAAGGCAAAATGGTACAGCCACTTTGGAAGACATTTTGACACACTCTTACAAAATTAAACATACTCTTAACCATGCTATCCAGCAATCACGCTCCTTAATATTTATCCAAGTGAATCAAAAACTTAATATCCACACAAAAACCTGCACATGAATGTTTATAGCTGCTTTATTTGTAATTGCCAAAACTTGAAAGCAGCCAAGATGTCCTTCAATAGGTGGTAAATGGATAAACAAACTGTGGTATATCCGTGTAATGAAATACTATTTAGCACTAAAAAGAAATGAGCTATCAAGCTATGACAATACATAGAAGAACCTTAAGTGCATATTGCTAAATCAAAGAAGCTAATCTAAAAAGACTGAAACAGGGCAGCCTCAGTGGCCTAGTGGTTAAGTTCAGTGTGCTCCGCTTCAGTGGCCTGGGGTTCCGTTTATAGGTGGGGACCTACACTGCTCATCTGTCAGTGGCCATGCTATGGTGGCAGCTCGGATACAAATAAAGAAAAGAGAGGAAGATTGGCAGCGGATGTTAGCTCAAGGTGAATCTTCCTCAAGAAAAGTAAATAAAAAGGCTAATACTGTACAATTCCAACTATATGGCATTCTGGAATGGCAAAACTATGGAGACAGTAAAAAGATCAGTGGTTGCCAGGGGTGCATGGGAAGGGAGGAAGGGATGAATAGATGGAGCACAGGGGATTTTTTAGGGCAGTGAGACTATTCTGTATGGTACTTTAATGGTAGATGCATGACACAAATAGTGAACCTTAATATAAACTGTAGACTTTAATAATAATGTATCCATTTGGTTCATTGGTTGTAGTAAATGTACCATACTAATGCAAGATGTTAATAATAGGGGAAATTGGGGAGGTGAGGAGTTATATGGGAACTCTCTGTACTTTCCATTCAATTTTCTATAGACCTAAAACCACTCAAAACGTAAAATATTTTTTTAAAAGTTGAATATCAGCCACTTTATATGATTCAGCTTAAAAGTACATAGACTTTCACTATTAAGTAAGTCTTATCATTCTGGTGCTTCTCCCTTGCCTCCTGCCATGCCTGGTGTCCCTGAGTCTGGAGCCTCTGGTTTAATTTCTCTAGAGAATAAAATGTCTGCCTCTTTTGGTTGTGGAAGAGGAGTACTTGCCTGAGTGCTCTTGGTGGGGGCAGGAACATGGGTTTAGTTGTTCCTTTTCAGTAATCCCCCCTTGTCCATGGAAGATATGTTCCAAGACCCCCGAAACTGCAGATAGTGCGGAACCCTATATATACTATGTTTTTTAAATACATACATACCTATGATAAAGTTTAATTTGTAAACTAGGCACAGTAAAAGATTAAGAACAATAATAATAAAATAGAATAATTATAACAATATACTGTAATAAAAGTTACCATAGATCTTAGCAACCTCAGCATATGATTTTTTTCTTTTCCCTATCTAGTCAAGAACTTTCACCTTTTCACTTAAATGAAGCACTTTACAGTTTCTCTTTGGCATATCCGAATTGCCACCATCACTACTTTTGCACTTTGGGGCCATTATTAAGTAAAATAGGGATTTCTTGAACACAACTACTGCGATAATGGGGCAGTTGATCTGATAACCGAGAGGACTACTAAGTGACTGATAGGCAGGTAGCGTGTACAGTGTGGATACACTGGACAAAGGGATGATTCACGTCCCGAGTGGACGGTTCGAGATTTCATCACGCTACACACAACAGTGTGCAATTCAAAACTTATGAATTGTTTATTTCTGGAATTTTCCGTTTAGTATTTTTGGACCCCAGTTGATCGTGGGCAACTGAAACCGTGGAATGTGAAACCACAGATAAGCAGGGGACTACTGTGCACGCTTTCAGTCAAGTCCTCTTTTTCTGGCTGCGTACCTTACTGCTGCTTTCTCTGGTACCTGATGCTCCAGTTCCTGAGCTTTTCCAGGGTTTTTTCCCTCACACCACCTTACTCCTAGTATCTGGGTGTCCCTTCACAAGCAGGCACTTAGGTTTTAGCTCCCTCAGCTCTGCTAAGTAGTTTACCACACTTTATCAGTTCTCCATCTACAAAAATTTATTGTATCCTCTGTTGTCTCCTTTCTTAGTCTTTTTGGTTTGAAGATTTACCTTTTTTGTTCATTTACTATTATTTTGGTGAGATTTCTAAAGTAAGTAGAGAGGCGTACCTGTGTTCAATATGTCTTAGTTAACCAGTCTGCTTTCATTTTGATCCATGAGGATTTTGTCTTCTATTTTTAATAGTTATTCTAATTTTATTATGTGTTCTCTTTAGAGCTCTGAGCAGCTCTGTTTGGGAGGATGCTACTGAAAAATGGTGCTTTTTAGGTGACAAATAATGCTTAAAATGTCTGGAAAAAGTTGTTTTCAGAATCATAATTGTGAACTAAAGTATATATTTTTTAAGTTGTTCACAGGGCTTAGAGCTCCTGCCAGAGGTTTGTTACTCTTTGGTCCACCTGGAAATGGGAAAACAATGCTGGTAAGAATTCTTTTTAAATTTGAATGTTCTATTGAGATATTAGAGATAATAATATGGAAAAAAGAAACTTTATGTGGTCCCTGAGTCTATTATTTATGATTTGCTTTTTGCTATATTTCTCTAAAGTTTTTTAACTACTTTTCAGTGATGAAGTAGATGGAAAACCATATGTTATCCTCAATGGTATGATTTGGGCTGGTTAAATTTGACAGTGTAATTTTCATTATTTTCCTAAGTTAAATAATAAAATTTTTACCTTTGAAGAGGTATCTTCCTAACCTTTGATTTTTTACTATCTTAGCAGCCTTATTTAAATAATCAGTATGAAACAAATTTTTTTCAATATTCTTTTGCCAGAAGTTTTTTTTTAAAGATTGGCGCCTGAGCTAACAACTGTTGCCAATCTTCTTCTTCTTTTTTTTAATTTTATTTTTCTCCCCAAAGCCCCCCAGTACATAGTTGTATATTCTAGTTGTGAGTACCTCTGGTTGTGGCATGTGGGACGCTGCCTCAGCATGGCCTCGTGAGCAGTGCCATGTCTGAGCCCAGGATCCGAACCACCAAAACCCTGGGCTGCCAAAGCAGAGTGCGCTAACTTAACCACTTGCCCAAGGGGCCAGCCCTGCCAGAAGTTTTTACGAGGTTCTGGATACCTCTTTCCCCTGCACAGCTGTTCTAGAGGGAAAAAGTAAAGAGGGCAAGAGGCTAACTGTTTTCCTTAGCTGCTTATCGTTCTCTAACCCGTTATCTTTCTACAAGTGGAAGAGAATAACCCTCTTCTGTTTTTTTAACCTCTCTCTATCCATTCTCTCTTAGAAAAAAGGAGAGTGGAAGGAAGCACAACTCTTCTAGAACTTTTCCTCTTTGCTGAGAAGGAACACATTGGTTGCCACATACTAGGAATTGTGTCATATATTAACATTTTTAGAAAGTCTTTTCTAGTACTTAAAATGATCAAATGTGGTTTATAAAGCAAGACATTGAACTAATATAATATTTGCCCTTGTGATTTTTAAAGGCTAAAGCAGTAGCTGCAGAATCTAATGCAACCTTCTTTAATATAAGTGCTGCAAGTTTAACTTCAAAATATGTGAGTGTTCTTTTTCCACTAATGTCATATTTTAAGGTTACTATCTGAATATTACTGTGTTAAGTATAAATGGTAATAACATTATACAAAAATGTTTTTCTGTGAGTTTTATATCTATTTAGACATGATGAATATCACTCTTCAAAGCAGAAAGTTATGTGTATTTGTTAGGCTCTTTAAAAACTAGAATTCTGCTGTTGAAGACCATTAGTTTGCTGGGGCTGTGTAACAAAGCACCAGAAACTGACTGGCTTAAAGAGCAGAAATTTGTTGTCTCACAGTTTGGGAGGCTGAAAGTCCAAGATCAATTTTGTGAAGTTATTAAAAGTAACATATGATACCCCTTCGCCTAGTCACATTTTGCTTCCTACATGAAATGTTATAAGTAAAATTGTTATTAGAGTAGGTTTACCCACATTTTGTGCACATAATATAATGGAAAATACTGTCTTGGAAGTTAAGAGATAGGGATTCCAACCTAACTTTTACATGCTGAGCTGGCCTTGAAAAGTATCTCCTTTAGGCCTTACTTCATCTATAAAGTGTTGATGTCATAAGAGGTCATCTCTTGTGGTTCCTTTCAGCTCTGGGAATATTTGTTTTGATGATTCTAAATCTGAGGTCATTCTTTTCTTTTTAATGAAATTTTCAATAAAAAGAATAGATGCCACCTAGAGGACAGAAGACTTTTTACAGTAGATTACCCCAAACCTCCTGACCCTTTTATTAGATGCTTTGGAGCATAGAAGAATTTTAGTATAGTGTCTCAGACTCTGGGAATATCTCAGGGTGTTCATAGACCTCTAGACTACCTATAAAAATTTTAATATTGATTGACAGTGATATTGTGAGAATGAGATTTCAAGGTGTTCTTAATAGAGCAAGTTTTGTTTAGGAGAGCACTTTCCAACTTATCTGCTTCTATAAATATACCCTGCAACCTAGGGATTAAGGAATATGTGCTGTGTCTCTTTCTCTCCCATAGTCTTCCCTCTTTTCATTAGTTATAGCCCTGACTAGTAGCTAATCTAGTCTCAAGTCTTAGGAATGCAGGGTGAAGCAAAACAGAGATATATTTTAGTTTTTAAAGTACTTACCAGACTGTATTAAATAATAAATATAGTCTGTTTTCTAAAGTTATAAGATATGCTCACTTCAGTAGTACATACACTAAAATGATAAGGGACAATTCAATAACCTTCCCCTGCCAATTCCTTAAACCAAGTCTTTGCTTGTTGTAAAGAAAGGAAATTCCTGGGTTCTAGATTTTACAAGATAGAATAATGTTGCATTTTATGTGTATAACAATGTATAATGACTTGTTTTAGGTGGGAGAAGGAGAGAAATTAGTGAGAGCTCTTTTTGCTGTGGCTCGAGAACTTCAACCTTCTATAATTTTTATAGGTAAGAACATGTGTTGCAACTAAGTTAACGGAACGTTTAAGAAATTTCCCTCTCCAAATATGAGAGGTATGTTAGGAAATATCATTCAGAAGGAAAGAATTTTAAAGAAGCACAGAGTTAGAGAGTAGGACCCACTATATTAATAACTTAAGTAGTAAATTAGACTAATCTCAGGTAACTCACATAGCTTGGCTTTTAATTAGTCTTATCCTTGTATTTCCTCTAGATGAAGTTGATAGCCTTTTGTGTGAAAGAAGAGAAGGAGAACATGATGCTAGTAGACGTCTAAAAACTGAATTTCTAATAGAATTTGATGGTGTAAGTGTTATGATATTTTTAATGTGGTAGAATTTTAGTGTATATGTTTTCCTGTTAAATGACTCAAATTAGAAATACAGATATCTTTATTGTTTTTCTTTGTTATTACTTTATCTAAAAGTATTGAAAAAATTTTTTGGCTTATAGGTACAGTCTGCTGGAGATGACAGAGTACTTGTAATGGGTGCAACTAACAGGCCGCAAGAGCTTGATGAGGCTGTTCTCAGGTAGGGCGACTTACGTAGAAACACACACATTTATTACAGATACATTTGCTCATGTGTTCATCTCAATATTTCTTTTTTCCTTCACTCTCAGTTCAAAGACTAAATTCATTATTTTCCTTCCTATATCCATCCTCTGGCCTCTTGTTCTCAACTAATGATTTTGAGGACAAGGCCAGCATGATATCAGGATAACCAGTCTTCACTTTATGCAAACGGCAAATTGCTTATTTCTTCTGGGTTGGATTAAATTATCTTCAAACTCCAAAATTGATTTTTACCCTCTTTTACTGGGCTCCATGAGAAGCTGATACAAGCAGGATTCATGGGAACGTGTTCTCTGTTCCTGTGTGTTTGAACAAATTTGTTCTCTTCCTCCTAGGAGGACAGTTTGACTCAGCATAAAATTCTTGGGCCTTGCTTTCTTTTCCTGAGGAATTTATAACATTGCTTCATTGTTTCTAAGATTGGATGTTACAGTGTCAAAGCCTGAAGCCAGTCTGCTTTTATACACATTTATGAATTAACTTGATTTTTTTTTCTTTACTGGATACAATTTTCAACCATTGAAATCTAGTTTTTTGAAAAATATGTTGATTGAACCGTGTTTATTTTTCCTTGAATTTGATGTTTGTTTGATAGTTTGGAACCTCCATTGTTTCGGGAAATTTATTTTGAATATGATCTTTAATTTTTTTTTCCTAATTTTTCTGCTGTTTCTTCCATATACAATCTACATATTATGTGGCATCTTTTTTTCTTTCATATCTGTAAAATTTTCTTTCTAATCCTTTTTAACTCATAAGTCTTTTTTGCTTTGTTTTGTCTGTTTTCCCAAGTTTGTTGTTGTTACTAACTGGGTTAGTTTCTAATCTCCTTTCTGCTGTTACTTTTGTAACCTTTGTGGTGGTATTCTTTTTCTTTTTCATTGCTTTCCTGATCTCACAATCCCATTTTTCATCTTCTTCAATTGTCTGATTTCCTTGAGCCTTTATATCTGATCGAGCTCTTGTTTCATAGAAGACTCTTTTTTCATTAAATTATTTTATTTCATGGAAAGATAATATGGTCACAATTTTAATTTGCCCTATGGCAAAATCTTCTTGTTCATGTTCTTCATTTTATTTTATATTATTGTATTCTTTTCCCTGTTTTTAATCATCTGTGTGCTTTTGTCTGTTTTGCTTATTATTTTTATTTGAATAAGGGGAGTTTTCTTGGAAAACTTAGTTTTAGAGGGATATTGTACGAGAAGAGCTGGAAAAGTGAGATACTGAGCATGTATCTTGAGTTGTCCTTTGAATGTCCTGGACTGGACTAACAGGCAATGTTCCTGACTCACAATAAAGCCCTACCTGATAAACAAGGGTATTGTGTGTAAGTAAGAGATGGGGTTGATTTAGTCTTCTTAAACTAAAAAGGATTAGTCACTACGAGACAGCTTGTCATCTTGCTAGACTGATTGATGTCTTCTTACAAAGATGATGTGTCTTTGAGTTTGTTGTTCAGCCTCTTCTTCCTTGCCATTTCCTCTCTACTCTCTAGGGTTCGCATGATCTACAGAGCCAGTCCTCACATGCTTGTTTAAATATGGGGAGGTTGGTTTTATTACCCCTCAGAGTGTGCTCTCTTGGTTTCCTTTGGAAAACTCTGTACTCTGACTGCAGTATCTAGAATTTGCATTGGTAGATCCTGTGTGTATCCTCCTTTGTCAGTGTAATTTCACTACCCCAGGAACCCCTTCCTCATACATTTTAGTCTCATAAATGTTACCTAGTTTGTTGATGGTGGAGTTTATTTTTCTGTTTGTTATCCTTGTTTGTTTTAGTTATTTTCAGTTTTAAGAAGACAGTTGAGATCTCTTTATTTCACTTCTTATACCAGATATTTTGTTTTGTTTTAAAATGTTATTGCTGTTAAAAACATACACATACATAAATGGTTAATTTAATTCTGACTATATTGAATTAAGGATTTTTGAATATTAACTAGAGAGTTTTAAAGGAGTAACTCTGAAAATAACTTTTCACATTGATGACGACTAACATACGTCCAAATGCCTTGAGCATTATACCTAAAGCTTTTTTCTTGTCATTTGCTACTTGAACTGAGTTACCTTTAAATTCAAAACTGTATTTCTGAAATTGCTTAAATCCTTTTTTTTAGGCGTTTCACCAAACGGGTATATGTATCTTTGCCAAATGAGGAGGTATGTATTGTATGATTGAATTTTTTTTTAGGCAGAAACAAGAACTACTATCTTGACAATATTGAGTCTTCCAATCCGTGGTGCAGGCACGTTGGAAAACAGTTTGGCAATTTCTTAAAAAGATAGAAACATAGACTTACTGTAAGACACAACAATTCCATTCCTAAGAATCTACCCAAGAAAAATGAAAACTTGTCTATACAAAGTCATGTACAAGAATTTTTATAGCAGCATTATAAATAATAGCCAAGAACTGCAAACAATCTAAAATGTTCATCATTTGGTGAATGGATAAACAAATATGGTATATCCATTTAATGGAATACTACTTAGCAAAAAAAGGAATGAGATACTTATGCCGTAATATGGAAAAATCTCAAAAACGTTATACTAAATGAAAGACCCCAGATGCAAAGATAACATATCGTATGAGTCTATTTATATAAAATGTCCAGAAAAGACAAATTTCTAGAAACATAAAGCAGATTGTGGTTTGCTAAGAGTAGGGGTGGGAGTGGAGATTAACTGCAGACAGGCATGAATGAATTTTTTGGGGTGGTAGAAATGTTCTAAAACTGGATTATGATAATGGTTGCACAACTCTAAATTTATTAAAATCCACTGAGTGTATATACTTACAGTGGGTGAGATTCATGTTATATGAATTGATACATTTATAAAACTGTTTTTAAAAAATGATAGTTGTCTAGCTCAGGCCGTTAACATCCTTGGTAATAATAACTGCTGTTTCCTTAGTGCTTTATTTGAATTATCTTTAATTCTCTCAGGAACTCTCAAAAAGTGGTAGTTTTAACTCCATTTAACAGACATGAGTGAGGCTCTAAGAAGTAGAGTGATTTGTGTAAGATCATTCAGCTCGTAAATGAGAGTCAGGATTTGAACCTGGTTCCTGGATATTTTGTTAAGCTAATTCTTAGGAGTGATAATTCTTTATTATTTCTTTTCAGACACGACTACTTTTACTTAAAAATCTGTTAGGTAAACAAGGAAGCCCATTGACCCAAAAAGAACTAGCACAACTTGCTAGGTGAGTGATTGGTTCTGTCTTAGAGCCTTTTTTTCTTTTCGAAGAGTTCTTTTTCTGTTTTATTTAAAGTAAGCTCAAGTATGAAATGCATAATTCATTTATCAGAGAATTTCTTGTTGTCTCCTTTTCCACTTCCTTTACCTTCTTTCTTATCTCTTATTCTTGTATATAGTACCTAAATTTCAGTTTCTAGATCCTCTGCAAGACATGACATAAGTGTTTAATGATGGTACTATATTCTTTTTATAAATTTATTAAAATTCATGGTATTAAAGTAATTTTAAAAATTTAAAACGTATCTGCCCACGTCAACATAGATATTTTCATATAAAATTGTTCTTCTGCATTACACATAATTTTTTTAACTTTTGCCTTTTCAACTTTTTTAATGAGCATTGTACTTAAGTAGAAACTAAATATGGGAGATGCACTTGTGAATTTTAGTCACTGAAAACTCTCATAATTAAAAATATTCAGCAAGTATGTAAATAGCTAGTAATTTTAGTAAAATCTCTGAGTTCCCATATATCTATGAAAAAAGAATAAATTCAATACTTGGAAATATTGTGGTTCTTTTCTGTTATTCCAGTAAAGAGTTCAGCTAATAATGTTTCATCTCTGTAGTTATTTAACATAGTACATGATAAGTAAGTGCTTTGTTTTTCCTGTTTTATTTTCCTCTTCCCCTTTGCCTCCCTAGTTGTTAGTTCCCTTTGATAAGCTCTTGGCTGCCCAGGATTCTCCCTGTGGCATCCCATTCAGGTGTGCCTCTTTTTGCCAGTGTCTTCTACCCCAGACCCTTCCTTCACCCTGTCTGTCCTGCGATTTAAGGGAATCTACCTTGACTGGCCCTCATTCCAACAAGGCAGTGATCTTTGTCAAGATAAAGAATTGTTAACTTATGGAGAAGTAATTATGGTTGTATATCAGTTGGCCAGCAATGGTTTATAGATGTTACCCTTCCGGGGACATTTTTGCAATTTAAGGGAGCCTCTGGAGCTACAGTATTCTGTAATATAAAGGAATGGTCCTAATGATGAAAATTTGAGACATTATAAGGAGCCAGCAGTAGACTGTGTGGTTTGTTGTTAGTAAGTAGGCTTTTCTGCGCCCTTAAAATCAAGTCACATCGCTGTTTGCTTCATGACAGAGGCAAACCAGGTTTTATTTCTTATTACATAGAGATTTTAAGTCTGCAAAGATGAAAATAATTTGTTCTTTCTTCCTTTCCATTCTCAGAATGACAGATGGGTACTCAGGAAGTGATCTAACAGCTTTGGCAAAAGATGCAGCATTGGGTCCTATCCGAGGTAGGTGTGTAAGAGCTGGAAGCATTTAGAACTATTTATTAGACCACTTTAGAAGTTTAAGTCCCTATTGAGAGAACTTTTTTTATTAGTGGGAAAGCTATATCACTGGAAAACTTGGTACAAAGTGGTTTCTAGATTTAGGGTCAGCAAACTTTTCTGTAAAGGGCCTGGTAATAAATAGTTTAGGCTCATGGGCCAGAAAAGCTCTCTGTTGCAAATTCTTCTTTTATACAAAAAAAAAAAATTTGAAACCATTCTTAGCTCATAGACCATACAAAGACAGTCCATGGATCATTAGACCATGACCCCTGTTCTAGACAACAGGTTTCACTTCTTTATCGATATTAGATAACCAGCAGAAAACTCAAAGAAAAAGGAAACTTTTTTTTTAATTGAGGTCATAATAGATTATAACATTGTGAAATTTTAGTTGTATATTATTATTTTCAGTCACCATATAAATGTGCCCCTTCACTCCTTGTACCTAGCCCCACTGGTAACCACTAAACTGTTCTCTTTGTACACAGATGAGTGAAATCATACTGTTTGTCTTTGTCTGGCTTATTTCACTTATCCATGTTGTTGTGGATGGGATGATTTTGTCTTTTTTATGGCTGAGTAGTATTCCATTGTGTATGTACACCACATCATCTTTATCCAGTCATCAGTTGGTGGGCACTTGGGTTGCATCCACATCTTGGCTATTGTGGATATTACTGCAGTGAACAAAGGGGTGCATAAGTCTATATGAATTGTTGATTTCATGTTCTTTGGATAGATACTCAGTAGTGGGATAGCTAGGTCATATGGCATTCCTATTTTTAGTTTTTTGAGAAATCTGAATACTGTTTTCCACAGTGGCTTCACCACTTTGCATTCCCACCAGCAGTGTATGAGGATTCCCTTTTCTTCACAACCTCTCCAACATTTGTTATTTTTTGTCTTGGTGATTATTGCCATTTCAACGGGTGTAAGGTCAGATCTTAGTATAGGCTTGATTTGCATTTCCCTGATGATTAGTGATGTTGAACATCTTTTCATATGTCTGTTGGCCATCTGTGTATCTTCTCTGGAAAAATGTCTATTCATATCCTCCACCCATTTTTTGATGGGATTTTTTTTTTTTACTGTTCAGTTGTGTGAGTTCTTTATGTATTATGAAGATTAACCGCTTGTCGGATATATGATTTGCAAATATTTTCTCCCAGTTGGTACCTTGTCTCTTCCTTTTGATCCATGTTTCCTTTGCCTTCCAGAGCTCTTTCGTATGATGAAGTCCCACTTGTTTATTTTTTCTTTTGTTTCCCTTGTCCGAGTAGACATGATATTCGAAAAGATCCTTCTAAGACCCATGTCAGAGTGTAATGCCTGTATTCTTTTGGGAGTTTTATGGTTTCAGGTCTTACCTTCAAGTCTTTGATCCATTTTGAGTTTATTTTTGTGTATGGTGAAAGATGACGGTCTACTTTCATTCTTTTGCATGTGGCTGTCCAGTTTTCCCAGCACCACTTATTGAAGAGACTTTCCTTTCTCTATCGTATGTTCTTAGCTCCTTTGTTGAAGATTAGCTGTCCGTAGCTAAATGGTTTTATTTCTGGGCTTTCCATTCTGTTCCAAGGATCTGTGTGCCTGTTTTTATACCAGTACCATGCTGTTTACATTACTATGGCTTTGTAGTATATTTTGAAGTCAGGGATTGTGATGCCTTCAGCTTTGCTCTTTTTTCTCAGGATTACGTTAGTTATTCGGGGTCTTTTGTTGCCCCATATGAATTTTAGGATTCTTTTTTCTATTTCTGTGAAGAATGTCATTGGGATTCTGATTAGAATTGCATTGAATCCGTAGATTGCTTTAGGTAGTATGGACATTTTAACTATGTTTATTCTTCCAATCCACGTCCATGGAATATATTTCCATTTCTTTTTGTCATCATTCATTTCTTTCAATAATGTTTTATAGTTTTCATTGTATAGGTCTTTCACTTCCCTGGTCAAATTTATTCCTAGATATTTTATTATTTTTGTTGAGGTTGTAAATGGGATTGTATTCCTTTTTTTTTTTTTATTCTGATTCTTCTCCCCAAAGCCCCCCCAGTACATAGTTGTGTATTCTAGTTGTAGGTCCTTTTGGTTGTGGCACGTGAGACGCCGCCTTAGCATGCCTTGATGAGTGGTGCCATGTCCACACCCAGGATCTGAACCTGTGAAACCCTGGGCTGCCGAAGTCACCCACAGGGCTGGCCCCTGGGATTGTATTCTTGAGTTCTCTTTCTGTTAGTTCATTGTTAGAGTATGCAACTGGTTTTTGTACGTTGATTTTGTATCCTGCAACTTTGCTGTAGTTGATTATTTCTAGTAGTTTTCTGATGGATTCTTTAGGTTTTTCTATGTATAAAATCAACTTGTCTGCAGACAGTGAGTTTCAGTAATTCATTGCCTATTTGGATTCCTTTGCTTTCTTTTTATTGCCTAATTGCTCTGTCCAAAACTTCTAGGACTACCTTGAGTAAGAGTGGCAAGAGTGGTTACCATAGTCTTGTTCCTGTTCCTAGGGATGGCTATCACTTTTTCCCTATTGAGTATGACATTGGCTGTTTGTCATATATGGCCTTTATTATTTTGAGGTACTTTCTTTCTATACGCATTTTATTGGGAGTTTTTATCATAAATAGATGTTGGATCTTGTCAAATGCTTTCTCTGCATCTATTGAGATGATAATGTGGTTTTTATTCCTCATTTTGTTAATATGGTTTATCACATTGATATGCCATCCCCGTGTCCCTGGTATAAATCCCACTTGATCATGGTGTATGATTTTTTTATGTATTGCTCTGTTCGGTTTGCCAATATTTTGTTGAGTATTTTTGCATGTGTGTTCATCAGCGATATTGGCCTATAATTTTCCTTCTTTGTGTTATCCTTGTTTGGCTTTGGTATCAGGGTGATTTTGGCCTTGTAGAATGTGTTAGGAAGTATTTCGTCTTCCTCAATTTTTTAGAATAGTTTGAGGATAGGTATTTAATCTTCTTTGAATGTTTGGTAGAATTCTCCAGAGAATCCCTCTGGTCCTGAACTTTTGTTTTTTGGGATGTTTTTAATTACTGTTTCAATCTCTTTACATTTGATTGGTCTATTCAGATTCTGTTTCTTCTTGATTCAGTTTTGGGAGGTTGTACGAGTCTAAGAATTTATCCATTTCTTCTACATTGTCCAATTTTTTTGACATACAGTTTTTCATCATATTCTCTTTTAATCCTTTTTATTTCTGTGGAATCCATTGTAATTTCTCCTCTTCCTTTCTAATTTTATTTATTTGAGCCTTCTCTCTCTTTTCCTTAGTGAGTCTGGCTAAGCATTTAGTTTTGTTTATCTTCTCAAAGAACCAGCTGTTTGTTTCATTGATCCTTTCTACTGTTTTTTTGTTTTATTAAGATTATGATAGTTTACAACCTTGTGAAATTTCAGTTGTATATTATTGTTAGTCATGTTGTAGGTACACCACTTCACCCTTGTGCCCTCCCCCCAGCTCCCTTTTCCCCTGGTAACCACCAATCAATTCTCTTTGTCTATATGTTAACTTCCGCCTGTGAGTGGAGTCATACAGAGTTCATCTTTCTCTGTCTGGCTTATTTCACTTAACATAATACCCTCAGGGTCCATCCATGTTGTTGTGAATGGGACAATTTTGTCTTTTTTATGGCTGAGTAATATTCCATTGTATATATATATACCATATCTTATTTATCCGATCATCAGTTCCTGGGCACTTAGGTTGGTTCCACGTCTTGGCTATTGTAAATAATGCTGCGGTGAACATAGGGGTACATGAGACTCTTGGAATTGCTGATTTCGGGTTCTTAGGATAGATACCCAGTAGTGGGATGCCTGGGTCATAAGGTATTTCTATTTTTAACTTTTTGAGAAATCTCCATGCCATTTTCCATAGTAGCTGTACCAGTTTACATTCCCACCACCAGTGTATGAGGGTTCCTTTTTCTCCACAACCTGTCCAACATTTGTCAGTCTTGGTTTTGGATGTTTTTGCCATTCTAACAGGTGTAAGGTGATAACTTAGTGTAGTTTTGATTTGTATTTCCCTGATGATTAGTGACGATGAGCATCTTTTCATGTCTCTATTGGCCATCTGTATATCTTGTTTGGAGAAATGTCTGTTCATGTCCCCTGCCCATTTTTTGATCAGGTTGTTTGATTTTTTGTTGTTGAGCTGTGTGAGTTCTTTATATATTATGGAGATTAACCCTTTGTTGGATAAATAACTTGTAAATATTTTTTCCCAATTAGTGGGCTGTTTTTTTGTTTCAATCCTGTTTTCCCTTGCCTTGAAGAAGCTCTTTAGTCTGATGAAGTCCCATTTGTTTATTCTTTCTATTGTTTCCCTCATCTGAGGAGTTAGGGTGTCCGAAAAGATTCTTTTGAAACTGGTGTCAAAGAGTGTACTGCCTATATTCTCTTCTAGAAGACAGAAGACTTATTGTTTCAGGCCTAATCTTTAGGTCTTTGATCCATTTTGAGTTTATTTTTGTGAATGGTGAAAAAGAATGGTCAATTTTCATTCTTTTACATGTGGCTGTCCAGTTTTCCCAGCACCATTTGTTGAAGAGACTTTCTTTTCTCCATTGTATGCCCTCAGCTCCTTTGTCAAAGATAAGCTGTCCATAGATGTGTGGTTTTATTTCTGGGCTTTCAATTCTGTTCCATTGATCTGTGCACCTGTTTTTGTACCAGTACCATGTTGTTTTGATTACTGTAGCTTTGTAGTATGTTTTGAAGTCAGGGATTGTGATGCCTCCAGGTTTGTTCTTCTTTCTCAGGATTGCTTCAGAAATTCGGGGTCTTTTGTTGCCCCATTTGAATTTTAGAATTCTTTGTTCAATTTCTGTAAAGAATGTCATTGGGATTCTGATTGGGATTGCGTTGAATCTGTAGATTGCTTTAGGTAGTGTGGACATTTTAACTATGTTAATTCTTCCAATCCATGT